AAGACAGGCAGGCTACCTGACAGTGATGAAACCAGTACTGCCAAATGGTGTTGGCAAACAAATCCCAACGCTGAAGTCTTCCTTTGACAAGACACTCAGTTCTCAGGTAGATTAGAACTATTATGACGTCTTGCCTACTTTAGTAGGGTCACCCCACTGATAATTAAGCTTGCACTCCGTCATTCCTATGTTAAGGTGAACGGGGATGCGTTTGAAAGCGAGAGGGCAGCACAGTGAGCAAAGAGGTGAAAGCTGGAAGCAAGTTACAAAGGTGCTTCTCAGGCACCAACCCTATTGCATAGTTAACGTCCAAAATCCGTCAGGAGAAATCTAAAAGAACATGTGATGCTGAGAAAAACAAGCTGGGAAGCAGTAATATAAAGGAGGATTAGGACACCACACAGAAAAGCTGAAAAAACTTGAAGACTAGAAGAGAAATGCAACTCAAAATACAGAGCGGGTGTGTACAAGAATTAACAAATACTACTCCCACAAAAGGCAGCTTCTTACTGGGAGAACACCAAAGGAAGAGAGACCTGGATGCATCCAGTCAGCCACAGAATGAAGCAGCCATGGGAGAGGCAGATTGGGAGCCCAAAATGCATCAAGAAAGTACTTCCAGAGACAAAAAAGCAGCACTCTCCTCACATGATGAGACCTCACCTGTAGCCAGGTGTGTCACTTCTAAGTTCAAGAAAATTGATTTAACTGGAGGTGCTGCAGAGAATGGGTGCAGAGGAGTGACTCAAGAGGCAGGACAACATGGTGAAAGGAAACATAAGTAACAACTTAGCCAAGGTAAACAAAGGCTGGAAGGAAATGTAATTCCTGTACGATGTATTCTTCCATGGTGCTTGCTGTCAGTGAAAAGTAAATACATTAAGGATAAAGGATTATACTAGTACAGAAACAAAACAAACAAAAAAACACCCCAAAAAAAAACAAGAAAAAAAAAAAAAGGCAAAAAGCCACATGGGCCATGGTTCCACTTAGGCTTGTAAAGAAAACCCCAGTCATGAAAGCAGCAAAGCTCCAGGACAGCTTTTCAAGCAAAACAGGGAGTTAAAAGACAATAGGAACTACCCACCAAAAATAATCAGAAACAAACACATGTAAGTAACTAGGAACGATCCCAGTTAGTACTGTAGTGGTGACAAGGAGAAACCAGTCTTTCCCCAAGGGGAAAGCAGCCTTTGCTACACAACGGTCTCTACCTGCTCCAGAGCAAGTGGAACTGGAAGCCCCAATGCCCCAGCATGGCACAAACGCAGGCTGCCAGCTCGCAGTACTGTCGCTGGAAATGAAGTGATACCAAGATGAAACTACAACAGCCCTGTGGGTGAAGAAGGTGTCTTTGGGCATGCTGCACTGCTCATGGGAAAACAGGATCTCTCACAAGCCTGCGAAACAGTCCTCCTTTCTGTACAACACTTCCCCCAACAAGATTCATCACACAAAACTTAACATGAAGCTTTCATATTTGCTGTTGCTTGTTGTGATCCAAGACAGTAATTCCTTATATAGCAACTTATTATCACTTATTAAAGGAATGGCACTCTGAGGGCATATTACCCCTTTCTACTTCAGCACGAAGCAGAAAAAGAAGGGAGACTTCTGTCGTAGTCTGCTCATTCTAAAGCTTCTGTGCCAAGTCCTCAGCAAGAGGATCATCTTTTTTGTTGCCTTTTTTGTTATTGCTGTGAAGTTCAAAGCCTCTGGAAATAGACCGCAGTAATGGAAAGGTTGGCAGAATTAGCTAAGAATATTCCTAATGTTTACTTTATTAAAAACAAAACCACCAACACCACACAATGAAAATAGGCCACTTCATCCTATACATTTAGGCTCTGGCCCAAAATTGGAGTGAAGGCAACATACAAATAGAGGCTTTGTCAAGAAGCAGTGTGGTGTAACCTTCAGCCACAGAGCAGCTCTGTCCCTATCACAATGGCTTTGGCCAAGCTCACAACTAGCAGCTTCTCCAACCGTGCCTGCAGCACTGCACTGTGGAGCATGCATCACTTTCACAACTTTCAGCCTCTTCAAGGCAAGGACAGTATGTATGTACCTAAGGACTGCATGTGTTAGCGTCTGTCCTGGTCATAAACAAGGCTGGCAGCAGTAATAGAATAATTACAGTCTGGCTGGCAATCCGTGCTGTTTTGGAGGAAGACTGCATGTGAACCTTCTCAGGCAGGAGGCTCGCTCCCAGGACCGGGCAGACCTGTCACCTGGGTGTGCCCCAAGGCCCAGCATTTAAGATGACAGAGGACCACCCACCACAAAAGACGTATCACAGGGCTCTATCAGCACACAGCTGCATTAAAGTATACACATCCCACGTTTAGTGCTATTTTGATCTCTCACCCGCAATCCTCCACTTCCTTTGATGACCACAACCACTCTGATGCAAGGTCAAATACATATTTGAAATGACACGCAATAAATCAAGCCCTGCCTGCTGAACCAAGGCACCTCTAAGCTCGTTGATACAGATCACAAGTAAAGCAGCATGTTGAACCGGCTGCAGGAAAACAGTCTTGTGTCGGCTGATGCCTTGGACAAGTGCAGAGCTCAGTGGGATGCTACAACGTTGATAAACACGCAGCATATGGTCATAAACTACATTCAGAGCCAGTCACATCAGTATTGAGTTACAAACACGTATCAGAAGTTTGAGTTTGGACAAGCCACAGAGACAGATTTCAACTTCATATGCAAAGATTAAGAGTTTGAAGAGCAGAGGCGGGGGGAAGAAAACACCACTAAAAAACCCCCTTTGGACCCTTGGTATTACCTGAGGAATATGCAAGAGAGACAATTGCCGTGTGAGAGAACTCCTGAGGCATTTAGAGAAAGGTATGCTTTTAAGGAAGGAGAGAAAGTAGCTACCAGAGTGCCACTCCAAGGTTACTATATACTGAAATCCAAATAAATATTCAGGTTGTACCTTAGCTGAAGGAGTAAGAATAATTCAGATAAATTTTTCCAGCAGCTGTGCACAAGATTACGGAAATGGGTTTTGGGACAGTTCAGAACAACCCAGTTTACGTAAGCAAACCTGTTTTAATCCAATACATTTTTAAATATGCTTATATTGGTTTAAGCTGCTGCAAAACCACATTAGACTGCTGGCTGCAGTATAAAAGCTCAATTAACATACTGAAATGGCTCAAGCCAAGGTCAGACAAGGACCAGAGACTGCACAAGGGAGGCTGTCGGATTGCACAGCCACAGGTAGAGGAGAGCAAGAGAACAGCCCTAGAGCAGCCAGCAGTTCCCCAGGCTTTGGCTGCTGCAGAGCCAGTACTCGCTACCTTCCTCTGCCCAAACTTAACCACAGGAGGTTAAGGTGCCCACAGGGCAACGCAGGTGCTAACTTACCTCACTGCTGTGGCTGTCATAATCTACATTCAAACAACACAGAAGTTAACAGAGGACTGCATCTGAGATGTTCTCAAGGGTACAATGTGACTTCAGGGAAATCCAGGACTGCAGCATTGCGCCTCGGTTCTGGCATGCAGGCAAGACCAAAAGTTGGTTTTAGCCTTGAGATGCTACTCTTATTATGGTCCAGCCACAGGAACAGCACTCTGAGCACAGAGCTGGCCCCATGCACCCCTGCTGGACTTTCACACTAGCCAAAAGCACCCAGCAGACTCAAACCTCCTGGCCATCACCCATGCAAACACATTTGCAGCCCTGCCCACCTTCCAGCAACATTGCACTTCAAGACACCTGTTTTTTGTGCTGTTAGTCACTAGCTTTTATTTACACCAGATCTCCCTTGGCTGCTGGCTTCACACATTATACAGCACACCACTTTTAGACCCTAGCAGTCCCCTCTCCTTACAATTTCCCATGACGGTGTCTTCCAGTGGCACAGAGTAACACTAGTGTCAACTCTACAGCTCTACCAACTCCAGTCTCTCCAGCCCCACTGCTGGGGCAGGGACCACTGCTAGGGGAGAACTGGGGGGGAAAAGAAAGAAAAGAAAAGAGAAAAATAAAAAGAAAAAAGGCAGCAGAAGGGGAAGGATAGAGAACAAGTGCCCAAACAACTTCACATGTTGGCAATCCCCAGCTGCCACCAATCAGGGTGTGCCTATAAGTTGTGTATCAGGCAGATACACATGCATAGTTTTCAAAGGAATCACAGTAGAGCTGCTTAACATCTAAATCAGACAAGCAAACCAAAATAACAAAACAAAACAAGAAGAAAAACATGAGGCTAATTTGATGCAGGTGCCTAAAACTGAGCACCAGTTCAGATGCGATTAGTAGTTACTGTCACTAGAATGAAAATGCAGAAGCTGTCACTGCTAATAAGCATACATACATTTTTTCCCTATTCTGAGAGCCACATTCTGCCCAATTTTCATTTTACATGCACTAAGCACAGGGGAAACCACTTCCCAGTATGTGGGGTGGAGGTGGGAGAGGAAGAAAGAGACCATTTGCTCCTCACTGAATACAGGATTCAGTAGAGGAAGACTTCACCCTCAGGACTTTATAGCTGTTCCACAGATCCTTACCCAGCTCTGATTTACGAAGCAAACCTGTAATCAGCCACACAAACAGCAAGAGGGAGACAAAGATGTTTTCCTGTCCCAGAAGAGAAGTGTCCCTTTCCTTCTTCATAAATTCCCCACCCCACGCTTCAACAATAGGATGGGGAACCACCGTACTGATGATGGGGGTAGGGGGAGAGGGCTGCTGTATGGGTTCACTGAAGGCATACCTACCAACTTTGCATAACCCTGGTTATTGCTCATTTGGTAGAAGCCCTGGAGCACATTCTGCTCACGACTTGCAAAAGAAGTGAATCAATGTGAAGAGTTTGCACAGGTTCATTAGAGAGGCAGCCTCTTACCAGCCTCGACAAACTTAGGCCAAGGGTACATTACTATCAACAAATAAAACTCTCACTGATGCTTGTAAGACAAAGTTAACATTTCCTGCCAAAAAGTACATGGAAACAAAACAAAACTGAAGTTTACCTTCTCTTGAGCGGACTTTACAACACTAACAACTTGCTTAACTGTGAGCTCAAGTGGTTCTGCTGGGTCATCTTCCTCAAAGGTAAGCAACTGCGAATCCTAAGAAAGAAGAAAAAAAGCAGCATCGTCAGGTGACAAACTCATTGCTTGAAAATGTGTGATAAAAACACACTGCCAGTGAAGTTGAAGTTCCTGGAAGAACCAGAGACAGAATTGCAAATGTGTGTCAGAACTTGTATGTATTAATTGCACAATACCTCACTACATAGTAGAGGTAGGGTAGTGCCTAAAAACCTATACTTAGGACATAACTATGGGCCTAATCATAACTCATCTTTCTACATAGCAGAATACCAAGGTACACAGCACAGAGTGAAGCCCATGAGCAGGGACAGAGTTCAGTGAAACCATTCTACTTGAGCACGGATTAATCACTGCTGTAGTTTTAAAAGGTGTTTTTGGGTTGGCCTAACAATATGGCTGCATTAGGCTATGCTGAAACTAAGAAAACCCAAATATCATCTTGCAGAGGTGAGGAAAGAAGCTTTCCCCTCCCCAGTGCTTCCTCAGGTGTGACAGCAGGCAGTGATGACAGCTATTCAGTCTTCACACAGACAGCAAGGAAAACACATCAGCACTTGCGTTCTCCACCTGCTACGCACACCGAGTGGTCAGCGCTGCTTCCCTCGTCACCCGAAGTTGTTTTGCACACAGGAATTTCAACAGCAGTGCGCCGCTGGCATTGTTTTGCGAGGCTGACAGCAGGAGCCATGCCACGCTGCAGCGCTAGGCAGTGAACTCGTGGGGAGAGATGGCTCCAGCTGCTTGCCTGGGGAGGGAGGGTGCGTGTGCCCCTGTCAAAAGTGGCTTTGGTCTCTGGCCCAGACAGGAAGCTGCCACTTGCTTCTAGTTAGTTTCAGTTCCTAGCACCTGTGCCCAAGCTGCCTGGGGTCTCCTCTTCCAGAAGCACAGGGCAAACCTTAATTTCTTACCAAAACCCATGCTTTTCTGAACAACACCATGCAATTTGAAAGAGCAAAGTATTTTCTTACAGTGCCCTAACTTATGGTGATGCCTGGAAGTGTTAAGCTACTTTCCTTATCTTTCACACACACATGTTGCCTCGCTCTTCCTTCTCCCCCAGGCTGCTCCCCAACATGTAAAGAAGCAAGCATGCTGGGGCTGCTGGGAAACGAACCTCCTAGACCTAGGGAGAAGACTCCGCACTGTGCTCGGAGACCTGGGCACACATCTCTTCCTAGATAGTTTAGCCTCAGCACTTTCCACTGACGTTGCAAGGGTTCAGTCCTCAGGACCAGGGAATTAGGTTGCCACGGCCTCACCTAACCTCCAAGCCTCTTAGACCCAGGCACCCCATTACAAATCACTGAGCAGGATGCCACGCTGCACCCTTCGCAAGAAGGGCAGGATGGAATGGCAATGGATGTGTATTTCTTACCTGACCTGGGTTAAAAGCAAACTGAACCCTAGGAGCCCACCATCCCACGGCCCTCTGGAGGATGCCAGCCCCCAGCATTACACTGACACACACGCAGGTTCAGCATGGCCTCAGACAACACAAAGGCCAGCTCCAGGAGTTATTTGCCAAAGGCCCCATGCCGGCATCCAGGCCAGGAAGTTTCCATTGTTTCCTCCTCCCCGCTCCTGAACAATGCTATCAGCAGCACAAGCCCCTGCCAGGGGCCGCGGGGGTCACGGCTGTGCTCTCCATCCTTTCCTGCTCCCACGCGTGTGCCCACCCTGTGCCTCTGGACGGCTCCTTCCTGAAAGTTCCCGCCAACCTGCCACCAAGCATACAGGTATGTATATACATACGTATATACACACACACAGGTATAGACACACACGTATATATATGCACACATGTACACATGCACGCGGAG